AGAATCTTAACTTGTCATTTCTCTCTCTCTCCTGCTCTCTCGTGGTCTCATTGCTATGGTCCGATCACTCTGTCCAGCGTCTCCATTATTTTGCTTCATCCCACCCCTTTGTTCCACCGCGAGTGTTTTTATTCATATATTCAAACTACTTAGGTTTTATTCTTTTGAGTTTTATCACGAATTTTTATTATTCATATTCTTTATTTTCTTCAAAACTATCACATCAAATAGTTATTTTTTTTTAATATTATACTATAAATTTATTTTATATTCAAAATATCACATCAATCTCTATTTATATCACATCAAATAATTATTCAAATTCTTAAAAAATCTAGACCCAAAAACTAAAACCCACAAACAAAAGACACCCTTATTTTTATTTTTTTTTAATGTGTTTTAGTGATACAAAACCATATTCCACTCTATTAGTGCTATTTTTTATTTTTTTTTACTATTCCAGTATTAGTGTATTTATTATATAGTTATTTATTTTTAATTTTTAAATTTAATTTTTTATTCTTGTTTGTCTAGTTAGAATTTAATACTTATAACACATAATACATATATAATTTATACAGAGTGTAACATATTAGCCATTTTATTGCCATGGTGGTTCTCATGAGCCGGGCCGAAAAAGGGCACCGAAACAACCTTGATCCTTTGACTTTCATCTAGATCGTCACAAAATTAATAGATATGCATATCACATATGTATGCAAAATATAATCTATCATTATTCAAAGTCAAACCTTTGGAAACAATGTCGAGATGTCCTGCCAGTAATGGAGTTTAATTTGTGATCATCTTTCTAAAAAAATTGGTTTGAGTAGTGTATAATTACCTAGATGAATAATATTGTCATTTCACTCATACATTATTAAAAATATATCCTCGTTTTCCCAAGTCTAACTTGTGAGTTCTATGAACTGTTTTCTAAATGCCACTAAGCATTGGAAAGTTTACTGAAAGGAATAAATTATCCCAAGTATTATGATGACATGATCACATTCACAAGCCATTTAGGAAGGAATATTTTTAATTAGCCATTTCTTGTTTTGATTTTTCTTCTCTTCATTCTGGAACAGATTAGAAAGCAGATATCTGTCTATGTCTCAAGGTTGTACACTTGTGTCTGTCAGTCAGTCAGTCAACAAACAGGACCAGACAACCAGTACAAATTAGTTCCAAAAGTTATTCCCAGTTTCTTTTCCTGATTAAGACAGGTTAAATAATAACGACGATGAACATCATATAAACTGATCAGACACTACTACTACTACTACTACTACTTGTATGGGTTTTTATTATTTTTATGATCATGGTACATATATATATGAAGATAATTCTTCTTTCTGCCAAAACTAGAAAAGAGCTTTACCACTAACTAATCTTCTTATAGGGAATTGTTTGTGAAATACAAAAGATTTTAAATAATTTTAACTGCAAACTCAAAAGGCCCTTTTTGGCATTGTTCAATACATGCAGCTGCATTATATTAGAGTTAATTAATTAATGTAATGTCGTCCTCTGGATCTGCTCAAACTTTCTTCTTCCCTAACTTGTTGCAGAGAATCTGACTGTACTGAGTTCTTGCACAACAGTATTAAGTATATCTAGCTATCTAACATGCAGTCAAAAGCATTTGAACATTAACATGCATTAGTGTAAAGTAGAATTGAGGAATATTATCATATTTTCAAAAACCACTTATAGGTATCTTAATCCAATGTTCAGCTCATTATTCAGCATGAGAAACTATTAAGTATTTATTATATAGAGGATGCTGTAATGCACAATATAATCTACCTGGTCAAAGAAAATGCTTGGCTGGTTCTATACATCTTGAAACCTGAATAAAATGAGATTCGAAATGCCTGTCCAAGCAGGTAAGCTACAGGGAAGTTTTGTCAGAGCTAAGTTAAAGTTTTTCTTAATTGTGGACCATGGCATTCATCATCAATCACAAGTAACAAAAATAATATATACATATATATATATATGGGTAAACTATTTTTTTAGTTCCGTAACTGGACTCCCTTATCATTTTAGTCCCGTAGAGCCTGTCGCAAACTAGTCCTATAATTGAAAAAATTTCGTTGTTTTAGTCCTCCGGCGCCGGAGACGCCCGCGTGGCTCGCCGGAGGTGACGTGTCCGCCTGGCGCTGACCCGGAAGACACGTGGATTTTTTTATTTATTTTTTATTTTTGTAAATTTTTTGTAAAACTTATTTTAAATTTATTTTTAATTTTATTTATATATTTTTAATTTTTTAATTTGATTTAATTTTAAAAAAAATAAATAAATTAATTAAAAAAATCCACGTGTCCGCCAGGTGTCGCTGATCTGGTGGGACACCTGGCGGACACGTCACCTCCGGCGAGCCACGCGGGCGTTTCCGGCGCCAGAGGACTAAAACAGCAAAAAATTTTCATTTATAGGGCTAGTTTGCGACAAGCTCCACTTACGGGACTAAAATGATAAGGGGGTCCAATTACGGGTGTATATATATATATCGAACAAAGCCAAGTTAATGGACTGACTGTTTTATACTCCTACTGAGTAAGCCTTTGCTTGTTAATAGTGTACATACATCACAATACATTGAAGAAAGGTATGTGTCAACTTTATTGGATGATATTATAATACATAATACTCTTCCAATTTCAAATATGGTGCAATATTTATTTCACTGAAAAATTTAAGTGAATAGTATTAAATAGGATAATTTAAAAATTAATTTATGTAAAAAAAATATATAATTTTTTTTTATGTGAATGCCATGATGGGATCAAGTGTTGTATATTAATTAAATATATTTAATTATTTCTATTTTACAAATGTTCTACACCTATTTGGGACAGACCCAAAAGGTAAAAATTGCATAATATTTGTGACAGCCAGAATATAACTAATTAGTATATCACATCTACTTTATATACTTAGATTAAATACAGGATAATAATAAATTTTTAGTACAAATATTACTTAGAAATAAGTTAATCTCATCTATTTAGAAATGATTAATTATGTCTAATTAGTGTACTATTACATCATATTTTGATCAATTTTGTGTTTTAATATCTATGTTTCTTTACCCAAAATTTTTCAAATTTTACTATTTGGACTATGCGTTTTCCGAAAAAAATACATTTTTTCCTCTAAAAAAATATCCCATCAAACGTTATTTTAATACCAAACTTAAACCAAAATTTTACCATAATTATCAAAAGAAACATGCATCAGCTAGAGCTATAAAGTTCATTGGTATACGACACTGTCCCTAATTAAATAATTAAACTAACAAAATATGTTTTGAAGGAAAGCTCTTGAGTGTGTCCATATATATAAAATAAAAAATAATTATATTACTCCTTACGTCTCACTTCTAAAAAAAAATTATACATTTTAATTTTATTTTTAAAAAATTTAATTTATAATTTTTTTAATTTTAATTATACTAATCATTTAATTTAATATTAATCTATAATTATTTTTATTATAAAATAATTATTTTCACTAATAATTTATAATTATTTATTAATTATATCTTCTAAAGTGAAATTGACAAAATATCAAGACTGAAATATTATAATACTATCTTCTAAAGTGAAACTGACAAAATATCAAAACTGAAATATTATAATACTAATAATAGAATAAGTGCCACGTTTCAGAAGGAATATAATAATAATAATAATAATAATAATAATAATAATGCAAGTGTGAAGTCGACATCTAACAGTTGCAAGGATTGTGTACAAAAAAAATAAAGTAGCCCCCCCTAGCCCTAGCCCTAGCCCGGGAACAGCTTATTGCACCAACCAACCAGTAGTAGTGTAGCGTAGTGTAGTGTGTAATAATGGAGACTTGGAACGTTAGGTCAAGAAGATGAGCCAGAGGTCGTGGGGGCTGTGCTGTTCTGTGGGATGTTAAATGTCTGAAATCTAGGAAGACTGACTACACAGGTGACTTACAGATATATGTATATATCTATATATATGGATTGGTCATCTACACATTAACATCAGTATTGGTCTAACATTCATGGACTTACAACCCATCTATTTATTCTTATTATTATTATTGCTCTTGCTCGAGGGACCAACTTCAGTCTTTTCATCGCCAATCACCTTTCAAAAACTGTCTTATAACCCAAATAATAATAATTATAATACACAATAACAACAACAACTTACAGATTTCTATTTACTCATCATAACTCTACAAATGTTTTTTCCATTCAGAGAGCCAATTTCCAGACAAATGATAAGCAATAATTCTATCATATGCAGCAACAGTGAGTTCAAATAATTAAATAAATAAATATGAAAGAAAGCATAGCATAGCATAGAAATTACCAAAAGATAAGGAAAAATAAAACAGAAGCACACAGGCAAACACTATATATATATAGAGAGAGAGAGAGAGAGAGAGATATGAGCTAATGCAGACATAATCATAACTCAAAATCCAGAAAGGTCTTCATGGAGCCAATGTACCTTATTAGACCTGTGTTCTCTTTCTTTGGAGCTAATATATGTCCATTTGTTAGCTTCTAGTGTGCATTAATGGTGGTGGCCTATATGGAGAGAACATTGCCTTGTGCACCATCAACAGCTCAAATTGTACAAGATTATTGATTTCACTAGCCCCCTTCGGATCCCACCACTCCTTCATGTTATTTAATGCTCCATTCCATTCCAGCACTCTTTTCACACTTGATATATAGATATCAATCACACCCAACCCAAAAAGCTATTCGACTATAGTAGCAAGTACCAGAACCCACTTAATTCCCTCCCATGGAACTCAGCGGGAGCCATTCTTGAATAGCAATGCCCACCAAGAATGGTCACAATTATATGCCACTGATACCCTCTTAAGGAAAAAAAAAACAACCATTGAGGATACTAGCTTGATGACTAATTAAATTCGGACCATTATCATTTTCTTTTGGTTGCTCTTTCTTTGAAGATCCCTAAAGTTCATCATCTACCTAAGTTTCTTCACTTAATCTCTTCCTTTTAAATGAGGAAGAGGAGGAAGAGAATAAGGATTCACTTGATTCAGTCATCTCAAGGAGCTGCGGGTATATCTTTAGATGCCTCTTTTGCCTAATAGAGGACGTGGTTTTTCGAATCAATTGCTGACAGTTCATAATACTTTCCTGCAGAATAAATCATGTTCTATCCAAGTTGGGAATTCCTCTGTTGTTTAACAAATAACATAAGCAGCATTATGATGAGGTTTGCTTACCTTATGAAGTCCATCACACCATGATTCAGCTTGTTGAGAAGTAATGGAAGAGAACTTTGGCAGATCACTTACTGCATGAAGTAATATTGCAGCACCAATGGTAGATGGCCTATGCTCAAGCAAGCAGATCTCTGTCAACAGAGAGACATAATTATATTATACATATATAAATATATATATGATTAGATGATTGTGAGTAAGTGTGTTGATAACTAGAAGAATGCGAGCTTGTTCTAGAACCTTGGATAGCTGAGAGGAGAATATCTTTCGCCTTTGATGTAAAAAAGTCTGTAAAAGTTCCAGTCGGATCGATCTTGAGCGCAAAAAATTGAAGATAACAAAAAGGAGAAATGGATTGAAGCCTCCAATCAAGAACCTTTAGAACCAGCAGTTCCATCCGCAGGACTGTTTTGGGTTCAAATATAAATTTTGCACCCTCAACCTGTTTAATAGATAAACAGAGCTTCAATGAAAGAATCGATTATAAATGTTGATTCAATGTTTATAGAATAGTAAAGATTACCTGAAACTCCAGAAGAGAAGGAACAAGGGGCTCCTCCATCTTAGCAGCTAATGACAAGCATGCAACCGATAATAGTTGCTCTGACCATCCATTCATTTTCTACAATTATATATAATCTTACATTAATCAGATATATATATATATAATCAAGATCTAAAAACCTCTCACATATTAAAATATCTCTTAATCCATCTTTATTTTTTATCACCGATATTCAATGACATTTTAAATAAGACTTTATAAAACTTTCTTGATTCTTGTGCTAAAGCTAAAACGATGTATAATTATCTCTATGTAAAGAACTAAAACAAGGATCTACGGATACATCGATGGATTCTGTGTCCCTAAAGAAATGACGATGTATACCAACTGAAGAACATGCGCTCCGAGGTTGATAATGACCAAACAAAAAACAAATGGATCTTCTATTCCCAACTTTAATAAAGAGATAAACTTGCTCGTGTGCAATTGAACACTTGCTTTCACTGTAGGAACACAACATGTACACTATAATGGACTTTAAATTATTGAAGTGAGTGTGAAGACTTTCCTCAATAACTACAAAGATTCCGCAAAATTATATTGCATGTGGACTTGAAAATCGTGGCTACATGCTCATAAATAAACACTAGATGTGATGAATTTCGTAACTTATGGTAGTGTCCAGCATGATTCACTGTATTAGTAAATAGACATTTATATATAGGCACTTGATTGCTACGTAGGATATGCCACCAAAAATCCACCATAATCGCTCCAAATTGAGCATTAAAAAACGTCATTATCAAATTTTCTGAAAAGTCAATCTTCCAAAATGATTTTTTGAAATGACTGAATTGAAATCAGTGCATTACAGTCAACTTAAATTAGTGGGGCTTTTTTTTGTCCTTATTGGTGTCTTGATCCGGCATTTAGTGATGCATTCCATAAAAGTAGTGTTTACGGAGACTAATGGAAGTATAAACGCCAGGGAATCATGACGGTGACGGAAGTCTTACCGGCAACTGATAGGAGTGAAGGAAACGATCAAAATAGTTGACGGATAGATACGCCGTTATGGGCTGGAAACCGTAATGTCTCTGCACCTGCACAGAACCGTAAATCAATCAATCAAATCTTTCAGAAGCAAAAATGCGCCGTTGAGTCTATAGTGCGCCAGAATCAATTCACTGTTTCATTCGCCGTTTCGAGAACTTCTCTGCTGAGTTCATGAGAAGACTGTTACTCTACCACCGACGAGACTCGCAAAACCGATTACAAATTTACAATTCTCCGACACAAGATTTCAGAAGTTAATTCTATTTTGTCTAATTAATGGCGTCAGGAACGATCTTGTTTGCAATCTAATTGATTTTTTTTTTTTCAATTTTCTGAAGCATATTGATGTGAAGCTCGAAAAAGAGGACATACCTTGAGAATCCAGGCTACAGATTCCGTTCTAACGGAGGCATCAATATTATGATGAGTCGACGGAGAACAAAATCCTGCTAAATCTCTCTCGTCTACCAATAGTCCGGCAATGGACTCCTCAAGCTCAAAGTCCTGCGTCTTGGATTCAATTTCAGAGGAATACTCCAGCGAGAAACCTCCCCCACCGGAGAAAATACTGTTGGAGTCCTCGCAGCAGAGAAGATCGGAGAAGCAGTCAGAGTCAGGGCATGAAACTGACATGACGAATTGGAGGCGCGAAGATCAGTCGTCGTCACCCTCTCCCATCCCGACCATTTTGAAAGAAGTTTGTCTTGAAATGTCGGAGGGAGTCTCCGCCGGGAAACGCGGGGAGCGTTACAGAGAGAGAGGTAGGTCACTGTAGAAGGTTTTGTTCAGTTTTAGATTCACTCCTCAACTCTGCTCTGTGCTTTCAGATGTATAAATACTGATGAACAGCCACATACCCCACCCCTCTTATTTTTTTGCTTTTACTTATTTATTTATGCCTCGCACCATTTTAAATTTTATACAATTATAATATCTCTTAGTTCATATTTTCTATTTTCTTTTTTCTTTTCCATATTTTTTAATTTTTTTAAATATGATTATATATTTTAAATATTTAGTTATTTTTATTATATAATAATTATTTTTATTAATATTTTTTTTTACTTACTTACTGCTTACTATATTTTATACTCTCTCCAGTCTCGACACAAAGTACTATTTTTATTATTTTTGTTTATCTCACTCTAAAATATTTTTTTTCTATTTTAGTAAAAGTAATTGTTAGTATCAAAATACACTTTAATTTTTACTTAAATTACAAATATATCATTACACATACAATTACTTTTTACACAAATTCAAAGGGTAAAAATGTCAGAACATCTCACATATCTCTATTGACTAATAAAATACTATTATTTTTTAATTTATCATAAAATTCCCGAAAGCCTGAGGAGTATAAATTATCGTATCTACAATCACCAGGACAATTTATCCCCGACACGGAGGGATAATTATAACTATATAAATAACCATTTGGATTTGTATAAAAAAAAATTGTTATCTTGTACCAGGTGTGTTTGTTTGGGGATTGAATTTTAAATTTATTATCTATCTCATTTTTTTCTCCAAAAATATCAAATAAAACATCTATTTTTTATTTTTTATATTATACTAAAAATCAATTTTACATTTAAAACATCATATCAACACCTATTTATATCACATCATACAATTATTCAAATTCAAAATTTTTATTATTTAAATCCCAACTCAAAATCCAAACAAAAAACTGTCCACAGTGTAGAGAAGAGGTGAGAGGATAGTGCTATATAAATAAAGGAAGAGAGAAAGGGGTATTGTATTGGTATTGGACTATTGGTAGGTGACTGTGGTATTGACATATGAACAGAAAGAGAGATACCGGAAGCAACTCACACAAATAAATAATAAAATAAAATAAATTAATTAATTTATTTCTCTCTCATTCCCATGTAATATGGGTGTATTACTGTAGACATGGAAATTTAGGTAAAATATAATTAGTAAGTAATTAAAAAATGTATTAGTAAAAAATACGATAGATTAAGATTAAGATAACTAAATAGTTTAATTAAGATTAAAAAAATTAAATTTTAAATTTTAAAATATGATTAAAGTGTATAATTAATTTTTCAAAAAAAAAAAAAAAATTACGTGGGACGAACAAAAATAGAAAATAAAGACAAATTATATGAGTAGGGAAAAAGTGAATAATAAAGAGGTTCAATTCAAACACTACCTCCCCAACATTTGAGTTATTGACTGACTGACTGAGTGAGTATCAATCAGATCTCCAACTCCAAGGATGATTAACAACAGATTGTCTTCAGTACACACACAAGTTGAACCAACAGGAATGAATGGATGATCATAATCCAAACTAAGTGTGAATTTAGTTATAAGTCTGATTGACTATGACCTCTAATGTACTTCAATCCCTTTCTTTTCTTTCAACTGAAATGACAAGACTACTTTACAGCAGCAGCAGCAACAACAACAACAACATAATAATAATAATAATAATAATAAAAGAAAGAAAGAAAACTATTGAAGCCCAGGAAAGAACTATTTTTTTTGGTAGAACTATTGAGGATGTAAATGAAAATGAAGGCTTGATTGGTCATTATGCTTTAAGAATATACTTTTATATAGTATCATATATTTAAAGTTATTACATTGACTATTTAATCTCACAAATCACATGCAATACATCTCTTTATTAGGCAAAATATATATATATATTGTGCGTAATGAAAACATACATTATTTATATTTTATGTATGAGTACAGTCGGGCTGCTCCCAAATCAGCACTATAACCATAATTTAAAATTTATTTTTTATTCAATTTTTTTCTATTTTGAAATAATTCAAATTTACTAAAACATATTAAAATTCAAGCAAGCAAGCATACCCTGATTGGGATGTGTTCTATAAACACTATTTATAACATTTTGCATGATAAAAAAATTAAAATCAAACTCATTAAACCTGATAGCACAGGACGAGATTATCCATAGTTCAGACAAGAAACCATTTTAACACATGGAAAACAATTGTCCTACAAAAATGTAACAGAAGCAAGAGGGTAGTGATTGAAATATGAAAGATGAAAGGGTAAGGGTGCCCAGAAGAGTGCTCAAACAACACAGACAATACGTTCAAACTCTATTAAGGACAAGTTGTTACTTTCGTCGACAGAGAAGCTACCACTCCCAACTTCAACTCGTCCAGATCTGTCCACCGCCACCCTCATCGATCCTTTGAACATGTCGATTTTTGCATTTCCAAGTATCAGAGTGTTGCCCTTCTTTGCCAACTCCACTGAACAAATAAATAAATATAAAATATGCACATCAATCAATAATAACCTAGGGTGGTAATATTAGGAATATATTCATTCTACAATGACCAGGAAATCAAACAGGCCCTAGATGCTTGCTTAATTGACATAATATTGCCAGAAATGCATCTTGGTTTTGATGTTTCATAACCATTTGAAGAGGTTAATCTTGAACAAATGAAACATACAATGTCAAAGAAACCATCAGCTCAATACTGAAAGCAAGTTAGCTCCAACACCACATCCTAATGAATCATTCATCTTAAAAAAAAGTTAAACCATTTCATTGATTAGGAAGCAGCGGCTCTCGAGACTATTCAGCAAGGGACGTGGAAAAGATAAAGACAATATTACTCATAATCCACCCAAGTTTGAAATTTTTGCACTATTCTTCCTCGTGATTTAGAAATATTGCATTTTTAGGAGTTTTTGTGCAACATTTTTGAAAATACGAAGGAGTCTTGCTTTTCAAATTAAGAAATTATGTGCAATTATCACTATAGCCTTATATATTGAAACCATTACTTTTCTCCCCATAAAGTAATACAGAATATCTAGTTGGAAAGCAAAGAATTCCAGAATCAACATCCACATTCACCTATCAGAGAAAAATAGTATACGACAAGATGATATCTAAATTGAAAATTTCTATCTTGTTATCCATGCGAAAAACTCTTTTTCGTTTGATATGAGAACATGATCACACACAATTTATACATAAAAGTGAGAGGGCAATAGATACTTAATGAATTGCCTTCTTGAAACCCAACAAACACCAACATAATATCTCCATAGAGCATAGTAATAAAAGACAATGACAAGCATTCTAGTTTCTTATGCAATTTGGTGGAAAGCACTAGCATTTCGGTTAACATAAAATCATGCCAATTGAATCATACTACATGCAGATTGTATATACTTTAAAACAAGAAAACTCATTGCAGGCAGAGAATTTAAGAAATAACTTTTTAACCTTGATCATTTCTTGCTGTAAAAATGATCATTCCCGTCTCATCCCCAACTAAGCATTCAGCAAACCGCCCCTGACTTCGACCTCTCTGCACTACCGTCTTTGCATCGATAACCTTAACACTTAAATTAAATCCAGTATCTGAAGGGCGCAGCTGGTTGACCTTGGTGAATTGGCTCTTCTGATCAGCCATATCCTGTATAAAGTTTTAGGACTCTTAAATACATCACACATACCTCAGAATGAACAACTCACATAAGTGATCAAACTTGACAAACATATAACTAAGATCGACAAAAATAAACCAGAAGTAATAAGGCGCCTCCAAAAAATTGTGAAGATTTCAGATTATTTCTAGTTCTAGTTGACAGCCTTCACTTCAAATCAATTACAATACAGATTTAGCGCGTTTAACACCTCTCATCATTCATTTTCTACTTAATCAGAAATTTCAACGGACAATTCAATGAGCATCTAAATCCAGCGCACGAAAATGCAATCATAGACCGCACGCATTGATTCAACCCTCACAGCGGGTAATTAGTAATAGAAAAACGCGCAATCGCCACCACAAAATTCAATCCTTTCCGGATTCAGAATGCAGAAAGACTGCGATGTAATTCAAGAAGTAAACGCAGATCTATCTCCCACGCAGATCGTAAAAACAGCGAAACAATTATCAAAGCAAACAAATCAAAATCAGTAAAAGGTGAAGAGCTTTTTCAAACAGTAAGCACAAGAATTGGACAGCAGCGAACCTGAATATACGCAGAGAAAATCGCGACAATTAATTTTCTGAAACAGAGGAGCTTGGGGAATCGAAAGAGTCGAAGATGTCGAACGACTACATAGAATGACAAGGGCTTTGTGGTAAATGCATATCTTCTTAGGGCGCACTGTAAACACCTAGGCCCTCGTCGCACATGAATATTCCACTGTCTCGGATTTCGCACGATTTCGCAACATGATATGCTCATATGCAAGAACGGGCGGATTAATCGGGTCGTGCATTTTGTGGATCCTGTTTAAACCGAATTGAACTTTAAATTTTAATTGTTCTTTTTCTAAAATAAAAATAAAAATGAAATAAAAATCGAATTAAAGTTTTTTAGAATTAGATAAATCGAATCAAATCATTGGTTTAAAACCAAATAAATTTTATTTATAATTAAATACAAATATTCAAAATTATAATATATAGTAATATTAATTATTAATATATTATTTTAATTATTTTTTAAAATTTTGGATTTTTCGGTTAGTTGAATTTGAGAATTGAAAATCATAATCGAATTGAAATACAAATTTATAAATTCGATTTTGAACGGAACCAAATCAATTAATCGAATAGTGTAAACCAAAAAAAAAAAAAAATTGATTTTTCTTTGTTTGAACCTATCACTGCTCATGTGTGAATGTTATTGTTGAAACGTGATTTGGATTTAGTGGTCTACCCGATTCGAAATCAAAGCGAAATGGTTGTTTCAATTAGCAAGGTTTCTTTTGAGTTTATCATAATTAATAACAAATATACTTATGATGTAGGGTGTTTTGGGGTGCTTATAAATAGATAGTTATGATTCCTAGTCGTATGACATGACTGTAACTCTCTCTGAATCAGTATACTAAAATCTCTCTGGTTCCTACCCGTGGAAGTAAGTTGAGACACCGTCATCGAACCACGTAAAACATCTGTGTTCTTTATTTGATTTCTTTCTCGTTTTCTCATAACAAGTGATATCAGAGTCATATCTCATTGATTGATGATGTCCTCGTATAAGTTTGATCTGGAGAAGTTTAATGGGTCGAATGACTTCACGCTCAGGAAGGTCAAGATGAGGACACTTCTGGTTGAACAAGGATGTGCGGTTGCATTGGAGGGAGAAGACAAGTTTCCTAAAGACACGAAAGAGAAGATAAATAAGGAGATTTTGACAATGGCTCATTTTGCGATCTTATTGTCAGTTACTGATGAGGTGTTACGGGAGGTTGTAGATCAGACAACGACTTTTGGGTTATGGAATAAACTGTGTGAGAAGTACCAAAGCAACTCTCTTACGAACAGGCTATATCAGAAGCAACGTTTTTACACCCTCCGGATGTCTGAAAGTACTCAGGTAAATGATCACCTTGATACCTTTAACCGTATCATTCTTGAACTTCAAGGGGTTGAGGTTAAAGTAGATGATGAATATCAAGCTCTAATTTTACTGTGTTTACTATCTGGTTCATATGAGAATTTTGTAGATACTATATTATATGGTAGAACTACAATTTATATTAATGATGTGAAAGATGCCCTTATGTCGAGAGAATTGAAAATAAAGGTTTCTTTGGAAAAGGGTTTTGATTCAGGTCTGTGTGTAGGTAGGGGAAGACCACAGGAGAGGGGTAACGGGAATGGGAGGTTACGTTCAAAATCAAAATCCTCTAGCAAAGTTAAGTGTTATCTTTGCAAGGAGAATGGACACGTTAAAAGGAATTGTCCACAAAAGAAGAGAAATACAAAAGTTGATTCTAGTAACAGTGGCAGCAGTGCTACTGTGGTACAAGACAGTTCTGATGATGGGGACTTTGGTGAAGTTCTGACAGCGTATAGTGCCAATACTGCTGATTCCTGGATTATGGATACCGGTGCTTCTCACGATATGACGTTCTCTCGTGATCTATTCACTTCTTTTAAAGAATGGAATGGAACTGTGAAGTTAGGTGATGATGGGTTTCTAGCCATAAAGGGGAACATGATAGTGCAGATAAAATTGTATGATGATACTGTCAAGAAATTTGACTGTTGGTATGTTCCTGAATAAAAGGATTTGATTTCTCTTGGCACCTTAGCCAATAATGGTTTAAAATATCATGGTGAAGGTGAGTGGGTGAAAGTCCTGAAAGGTGCTCTGGTAACGATGAAGAGAAAACTGCAGTATGAAATTTATTTTCTACAGGGCAGTTCAGTGATGGGAACGTCTGCGGTATCCCAGTCTTTGGATAAACATGATGACAGGACAAATTTGTAGCACCGTCGATTAGGTCATATGAGTGAGCTAGGGTTGTCTGTGTTGAGCAAGCAGGGTTTATTTGGTGGGGATGTGATAGGTAAAATTCAATTATGTGAGACTTGTGTAAAAGGGAAGCAACGCAAGGTGAGGTTTAGTACCGGTCATCACACTTCAAAAGAAATTCTGGAGTATGTTCATTCAGATCTATGGGGTCCCTCTACGGTGAAATCGTAGGGCGGGTGTTCTTACTTTGTCACTTTCATAGATGATTATTCGAGAAAAGTCTGGTTGTACTTTTTGAAGACTAAAAATGTGGTGTTTGGGAAGTTCAAGGAGTGGAAGATCATGGTTGAAAAACGAACGGGTAAACAGGTTAAGACTCTAAGAATTGATAATGAGTTGGAGTTCTGCAATGCTCTATTTGATGATTTATGCAAAAAAGAAGGTATAGTGGGGCACCACACTATACGACACACACCACAACAAAATGGAGTTACAGAGCGAATGAACCAAACTCTCATGGCGCGTGCTAGGTGTATGCGCATATTTGCTGGCTTATCTAAGCAATTTTGGGCTGAAGTAGTTAACACTGCTAGCTATCTGGTTAATAGATCTCCATCAACTACAATTGACTTAAAGACTCCTTAAGAGGTATGGTCCGGTAAACCCTTTGATTATTCTAATCTGAGAATATTTGGATGCCCTGCATACGCTTATGTGAATGATTGTAAGCTAGAGCCGAGGGTGGTAAAATGAATATTTCTAGGGTATGCAACATGAGTAAAAGCTTATCGACTGTGGTGTACAGAAGGTAAAAATCCTGGTAAATTTTTTATTAGCAGAGATGAAACTTTTGATAAATCTGCTATGCTTGATAAGAGTAGAGGTTGTGAAAGTATTGCAGGTACAAAAGATTGTGGTGCTGACCAAATGGTGGAGTTTGAGACTCCTGACAGAGTTGTGTTAGAGGAAGAACAACAGGATAATACTATTGATCAATCTGATTAACCAGATCAGTCAAAACCTCAAGGGAAACCGGTTGAGGGGGGAAGCTGATGACGTTGGTACTGGGGTTGAAGATTCCATAGCAGTAAGAAAGGGAAAGAGAAATATTCAGAAACCAGCTAGGTTTGCAGGATATGTCAATACATGTGATATGAATTATGTGGCTTATGCACTAGCAGTTGGTGATGATCTTGGCTCTGATGAGCCAAAGACATATAAAGAAGTTGTGGCGAGTAAAGATGCAGAAACCTGGATTATGGCAATGAATGAAGAGATGCAGTTTCTTGAAAAGAACAAAACTTGGGATCTTGTTGCATTACTAAAAGGGGTGAAGCCAGTGGGATGCAAGTGGGTCTTTAAAAGAAATGAGGAAATTCCTGGTGTTGAACCTGCTAGGTTCAAGGCGAGACTGGTGGCAAAAGGATTCTCACAGAAGGAATGAATCGATTACCATGAAGTCTTTTCTCCTGTGGTGAAATACAAAACCATTCGGGTTCTTTTGGCAATAGTGGGTGCTTTTGATCTGGAGTTGGAGCTGATGTAAAAACAACATTTCTTCGTAGTAATCTAGAATAACATATTTATATGTCTCAACTGGAGAGGTTCTACAGTTCTAAAGGGGACCAAGTATGCTTATTAAAGAAATCTCGGTATGGCTTAAAGCAGTCTCCGAGGCAATGGTACAAGATATTTGACTATTTCATGGTGTCTAATGGTTGTACTCGTAATCAGTTTGATAACTGTGTTTACTTGAAGAAAGTTTCTACTGATTCATTTGTGTATCTCTTGTTGTATGTGGATGATATGTTAATTGCAGCTAAAAATGACTGTAATTAATGACTTGAAGGCTCTACTAAAGGGTGAGTTTGAGATGAAGGATTTGGGTGCGGCAAAGAAAATACTTGGTATGAAAATCTGGCATGATAGAGAAGCAGGACGGCTGTGGATTTCTCGAGAAAAGTATATTGATAAAGTATTACAGGAATTCTCTGTTGATTAGACCAAACCGGTAAGTACCCATTTGGAGGCACACTTTAAACTTATCGAAGCACTATACCGACTACAGATGAAGATGTTAACTACATGAAGACGGTTCCATATTCAAGTGCAGTTGGAAGTCTTGTGTATGCGATGGTATGTACAAGACCGGATCTCGCTTATGCGGTAAGTGTGGTGAGCAGGTTTATGGCTAATCCGGGTAAAGCTCACTGGAGAGCTATAAAGTGGATCTTGCGATATTTGAAAGGAGAGTCTCATATTTGTCTGGTATATGATGATAAAGGCCATGATGATGGTCTTGTTGGCTATGCAGACTTTGATTACGGGGGTGACTTGGTGAAACGAAGATCACTAACTTACTTTATCTTCATTCTGTTTGGATGTACAATCAGTTGAAAGTCTACTTTACAACCTACGATTGCACTATCGACGACTAAGGCGGAATACATGTCAATGACTGAATGTATTAAGGAGGGTATTTGGTTACATGGTCTGGTGCAGAGTTTGGGTCTGAAGGTGGAGAAACCGGTGTTATTCTGTGATAGTCAAAGTGCTTTGAGTTTGGCTAAAAATTCAGTGTATCATGAGAGAACCAAACATATTGATGTAAGGTTGAATTTTATCTATGATATTTTAGAAGAGGACAGGTTTTCTATTCAGAAAATAGCTACATAACACAATCCACAAAGGTGCTACCGACGGAGAAGTTCGAGCATTGCTTGAACTTGGTGAATATTCGCATGAGGTAAAGCCCTATCGAGGCATCTGGCAGGAAGGAGACGACTGGGAGATACTGACAAACCTTTGGCGGTTGGAGAAACTCCAAGTCAAGGTGGAGATTGTTGAAACGTGACTTGGATTTAGCGGTCTACCGACTCGAAACCAAAGGGAAAGAGTTGTTTCAATTGGCAGGGAACCTTTTGGGCTTATCCTAATTAATAGCAAATAGGTTTAGGATGTAGGGTGTTTTGGATTGCTTATAAATAGATAGCTATGGTTCA